CACAGACTGTGAGTCAATCTGAAGCGACTTCCACGTTGAACCCATCTTGGCACATGTCTCCGTTATTCGGGATCGTCCGGCGTTCTATTGGTTCTGCCTATGCTAACTTTTTCCGCAGTCACACTACAAATTGGTATTCCACAGCTGGTGTGTTGGCCCCATTAGGCTGAGCTTCCTTCGTTGGAGGTACCGGTAAATTTCGGGTTCGGTTGATACCGACACGTTGTGCAGCATAGTTAACTTCCTTGTGTAGCGAAAAATTATACGCTTCGTTTGTCTTCAGCGTGGGCTAAGTCACCTTTGGAAAGGCTACACTCGATATACACTTTCCTTTTCTTGGCTGCCGTGTGCACCAAGTCCTTTGGTCCTCTCGCGGCTTGGCTGTGTTTCTCGATAAATCTTCGAGGGTAGCCTTTCCCGTCATTAGTCGTTGCTGTAGTTAACACCATCTCAACGTTCAGACAGCCGGCGGAAGAAATTCGCTTGGCTCGACTAACTGGAGTCATCACGAGTGTCAGTTTGTACCGCACTGGTGTGAAGCTGGCGAAGTGGCAGGTTGTAGCGAGAACGACAAGACAGGGGGGTAGACGTTTATTGCACACCGAAAATGGGCACATGAGGGTCTCGCGCGCGCCCTCGAATATCGACTAGATTTCCGTCCCACCACGCAACACAGGTACGGATGTTAGAGGCGAGCCAGTCCTTTCGCCTCGGGAGCTCTGACTTGGAAGATCCGCCTTCCTGTTTTCGCCTCGATCTCCGCTTCTCTGCACCCGATTTGGATCGGCCAGGAGTCGTTCGAGAGCTCTCGACTTGCTTGTTCTGGGCTGTGTCAATCGGCTCGGCCTCGGTCCTGTGGGCTGCGCTAGCGGCGTATTTGTCTGATTTATTGCACTGTCCACATATTCCCGCTCCGTAGTTCCGGGCCCAGGCTCGTCGCTAGCCGTCTTTCGCGATCCGCTCTCAGCTAGCTCCGAAGAGCTCCCCAGAGCCATTCTTGGAAGCGGCCCCTCTACACCCGCCCCTCCTCCAGGACCTTTCTTCCTCTCGTACCATGGTCGCAGGAGAGCAGCATTCACCCAACGTTTCATTCCTCCGCAGTCGATTAGGAAGTTGCCCGCTTTCTGGTCGATAATGGTGTAGGGGCCTTTCCAGCGTTCTCTGAACTTGCTTGCGCCCGGCCCGTCATGATCCGGCCGATCGTTGTTTCGTAACTTGACTCGTTCTCCAATCCTGAATGGCCTCCACTTGTGAGCCTCATGCCTGGCGTCGTAATTTCGCTTATTCCGCGCTTGTCGGGCTTTGGTTTCGCTTCTAGCTTTCCATCGCAGTCGCTCTTGATGCTCAGCTGGATGTTTCCACTCACCCTGGTTCGGTAGGCAAGTATCGAGCGCAATCCGTGGTTCTCTGCCGAACAGTAATTCGAATGGCGAGACCTTGGTGGTTGATTGCATGCTGGTCCGATACGCGATCAGAACCTGAGGCAAAGCATCTTCCCATGCCAACTTCGTGCAGTTTATCCACGTCTTCAATGTCCGGTTGAACCGCTCGGTCATGCCGTTGGTTTGTGGGTGGTACGGTGAGGTTCGCCGTCTCTGGATGCCCCACTTGTCCAACACTGACTTAAACGCTCTTGACTCGAAGCAGGGCCCTTGGTCCGTGATGATACACTGTGGGATCCCATACCTTGCAGGCACATTGAATTCGAATACTTGCGACACTGTCTCGCCTGTTTGGACCTTGATTGGTATGGCTTCCACCCATCGAGTGAAGTGGTCAATCATCACTAGAATGTATCTGTTTCCTGTTCGACTCACTGGTAAGGGCCCAAAGACGTCCAGTCCCCAACACTGAAGTGGCTCACCAACCTCCATTGATCGCATCGGCGGTCTCGGGGACTCCATCTCCCGACTCGTTTGGCAGTTTGGGCACTCCCGAAGGTATGTCGCGACGTCCTTCCTCATGGTTGGCCAAAACACTCGCCTCCGCAGTAATTCAAAGACCCGCTCGAATCCCATATGGGCGCCATCATGAGTTATGCGCATCACACGTTCTCGCTGATTTGGTGGAACAAAAGGCACTTTCCGTCCGTCTATCGTCACCACCACGTTATCGTTTTCGACCTTCAACCTGTCCCAGATCTTGAGGAGCTCCTCCACCTCCTCCGATGTAGCCTCCGGTTTAGTGCCAGCCCGTAAGTGAGAGCACAACACATTCACGAATTCATCTGTCCTTTGATCTCCCAGCAGGTTCCTCTCCCTCATCGCGATCGCACGCACCGGTATGGCATTGTCTGGCATGATGTCGTCCAAACACGGGTGTGACAACATATCCGGCAATACATTTTGCGTTCCATCCACGTGCTCAATGGTGAAGTTGAATTCCTGCAATCGGTAGGCCAATCGCGCAAGTCGTCCCCGCGGGTCTTTCGCCGTCATCAACCACGAGAGCGGTTTGTGGTCAGTGATGACCCGGAATTCATTCGCCAGTAAGTAATTTCTCCACATCTCTAACGCCCACACGATGGCCAAGCATTCTTTCTCCGTTGTTGAATACTTCTGTTCCGCCCCCGTCAGCACTCTGCTCGCGTACTCCACCACCCCAGCCGGTTGAGACAAAACCGCACCGATTGCCACGTTGCTTGCGTCGACAGCCACAGTGAACCTCTCACCAGGATTGGGTAGCCGTAGACATGTCGGGGCTTCTGCTATGCCTGCCTTTAGATGGTCAAAGGCCTGATCCGCTTCAGCTGTCCACACAAAGGGCACGTCCTTGCGAAGCAGCTTTAACAACGGGCTGACCTTCTCTGCGAACTGGGGCACAAACTTTGAATCATATGCCACCACTCCCAAGAACGAACGGAGCTGACGCTTGGATTTTGGTTTTGCGAAGCACTTGATCGTCTCGCGTTTCTCCGGAAGTGGATGGACTTGACCATTGCCCACGATGTGACCCAAGCATACAATTGACTTTTGGGCAATCTGCGACTTTTTACGACTGAGTTTCAGACCAGCTTCATCTAGCCTCTGCAGTACTGCTCCAAGTCTGGTCACATGTTCCTGTTCCGTCTCAGAGAATACGATGATGTCATCACCGTACACAACCACGCCTTGCAGATTCTCGAGGACCATCAGCAACAAACGCCTGAATGTAGCCGGGGCGTTGCACAATCCAAACGGCATTCTCAAAAACTCATACTGCTGGCCATTGACACTGAAAGCCGTCTTGTGGCGATCTTCTTCTGCGATTGGCAGTTGCCAATATCCCGAGCGGAGATCAATCAGAGATATCTGCTTCGCACTGTGAAGGCTTGAGAAAATTTCTTCCATCTGAGGCATCGGGAATGCATCCTTCACAGTCACCCTGTTTAGTTCTCTGAAATCGATGCAAAATCGATAGGTTCCGTCGGCCTTCTTCGTCAATAGCACGGGTGATGAATACGGGCTGTGCGTTCGCCTGATGATTCCTTTCGATTCCATCTCGGTCACCTGCTTCTGTATCTCCACCAGGGTGTTCTGTGGAATTCGTCTGAAGATTGGCTTGCATTGTCCTCCTGGGATCAACGGTATTCGGTGTTCAACCCAATTGCAAAATCCGTAATCATCTTCCGCGTCTGTGAATAAGTGGGCATACCTGCTCAGTACGTTGCGTATTGCGCGGTTCTGACAATCAGGCACGGCTTTGAGGGCACCAACCCGGTCGGTTCTCCCCTTGTTTATCTCGATCGTCTCGTTAGCCACGATCACCACATCGTTTTTCAGGTCAATTGTGACACCGAGCCGTTTTAGGATGTCGGTTCCGATGATGGTTTCGGTCGTCTCCTCCACGATGAACATGTCATGGCTGATGAGCGTTTCTCCTATCCTGATTCGTAACCGCTGCGTGCCCGTCACTTTCAAAGAATGCCCGCCGACCGTCTGCATCGTGATTGAAGATGGGTTTACTGGAACCCCATTGAACCTCTTCGTAATTGACACTGCCGCTCCTGTGTCTACTATGGCTCGGACAGACACACCTTCTATAGTTACCTGCAGGACTGGTACTCGCCACCGACTCGGCATGGATAGAGAGAAACAATGGGGCACATTGACGTTGGTGCAGAATCTCGCCACATGACCACTCTGGTTGCATCGGAAACAGCGGCGACCGTTCCGGCTTACCCGTACATTGCGTTGTGAAGTGGTGCTTGAAGACTCTATCGATAACAGCTGCTCCACCATTTCGGATAGGCGATTTACTTTCTGTTCCAACTCAGCATGCTGGATGCTTCTCACTGTCACTCGTTCCGACAAATTCTGGGCGACCGTCACCAGATCCAACGCTTTGCTGTCTCCCACCAGCGACGCCAATTTCACCTGATCATAGAGTGGACCGGGCAGACTTCGGATAAACTGCTGTTTCAGTAGGCGCTCTCTTGCTTTGCCCTCTAACTCGGGGAGCCCAATCGTTAGATGTCTGTCCAGCTGCTGGAAAAACACCATCAAATCC